TAACAATTTTATTTATAAAGACCAATAGATCTGCAGAGAGACCACAGGTCTATACAAATACCAATTGGTCTGTATAGATGCCAATTGAAAGTTTATAGAGGCCGTATGTCTGCAGAGCAGTCATATGTCTGTATATAGAACTAATGAGTTTATATAGTCGAATTGGTCTGTGTAGAGACCTCATGTCTTTATAAAGACCAATTGGTATGTAAACAGGCCGATTGGTAGTGTTTAGATATCACAGGGCTGCTGAGAGATCATAGGTCTGTATAAAGTGCAATTAGTCTGTATAGAGAAAATGCCATTTGGTTCAATTTTAATCAGTTTTGTGGGAGTTAGAGGTTAGGTTGGTTGTATTTAGAGTTATTAAAACATGAACCTATATTAATTTAAAATGTTCTGCGAAGAAGTGTTTTTGTTCCTTCAAGAATAGAGAGCGCCAAATTATAACCCCATTCGGTTGGAAATGGGGATAGAATTATGAAAATAACTAAAATTCGCCTAATATTCTATAAAGCTTATATGTGAAACTGTTCACCTACATTTGAAGAGAAACTAATTTTCCCACCAAGCACATGAAATCGAACAAAATTATATATGGGAGCTATATGTAAATCAGGACATAATTGAGCAACCGTGGCATACATCAAATATATGTAAGCTATATCTAAACCTGAAGCGATAATAACAAATTTCAATCCAATACTCTCTGCAATATTTTATCTAAAGCGAAGAGAAATAAGTTTCTCGGTGGTCCATTTGCATGAAATTGGAGGAAACTATGTATGGGAGCTATATCTAAACTGGACATAATTCAGTTCGCTATGCCAAATTTGGTCTCAATTGGACAAATTTTTGAGTTTGGTGCACCATTTATCTAAAATCGGAGGAAAATATATATGGGAGCTAAATCTTAAACTGAACCCATTCAAAAACACATCACATACGTCTATCTATATCTAACGCTGCACAATGTTTTGTCTTAATCGGGCAAACCTTGGGATTTGGTGCAACATTTACCTAATATCGGACTAAAATATATATGGGAGCTGTATCTAAATCGGAATCGATATCAAGAAAACTTCACAGACATCCATCGGGACCTAAATCATTACGCTGTACAAAATGTTGTAGCAATCGGACCAAATTGGATCATAAATGCGACCTGTATTTTGTTGACATATCCTCAAAAGAAACCATGGGTTCAAAATGCGCTCATGAGCCCCAAATTACTAAATTAAAGCCATTTCGAGCGAAAATGCTATCAAAACCCCCAAAATTCAGGTTACCGTCATATGGGGACTACCAGAAAAAGAGAACTTATATTTTTATTTTTTAGTGAAGAAATGTTGTACCCACTAGAACCCATTTCTTCTTAGTGAAGAAATGTTGTACCCACTAGGACCCAATGTACCAAATTTCAGCGAATTCGGTAGAACCCATAATATAGAAAGTTGGTGGTGGCTTATATGGCAGCTATGCCTAAACGTCCCATCTTCGAACTTGGCCTGCCTGCAGACAAAAGACAACTCTATGCAAAATTTTGGCACCCTATCTCAATTTGCTAGAGGCTAGAGTGATTACATCAGACAGGCTGACATGCTTAAATCATCATAGAATTATACTTTATAGGGACGGGAATGAGTATTTCGATGAGTTACAAACGGAAAAACAAAACTAATATACCCTTTATACACTGCGTATCATAACTATAGACGCACCTTTAATTCAATTGGTATGTTAGTTGACAAATAAAATGGACCCATTAACTTATTGTTCACAATAAAACGATCAAAAACACATATTATCCAACAAAAATAATTAATTTATTCTTTATGGTTTCGCCGAATTCTGCACTTTCAAAATTGCTGGTGTTGCATAACTATAGACGCACTTTTACAAAATTAGATAATTTTATTTTTTAAAACTTAAATAAAATAAAATAACTTTTGTAAATAATTGGTAGGGCCTCCCTTATTTTGAATAAGTTCTAAAATGTTATCCATCACACTGTCGATCAAAATTATTCGTAAGTCTTCATCGATTGACCGCCATTCATCGATAATCACTTCTTGGAAATAAAATAATGTTTGGTATTGGCGGTTTTCTGCATAGACACGACGAGTCAAGATTCCACACATGTTCGCGAACGGATTCTGGTCGGAAATTTTAATATTTTTTAATTTTAACCATACTTGAGTACGGCGACTTTTATGAACTGGCGTGTTGTCCTGCTAAAAAACGAGTCCTTCATTGTTGCTGCTTTGCCAAAATTGCAATAATTTGTCTTCCAAGACTTGAACGTACTCCATTGAATTCATCTGAAATGTGAAATAAAGCTTTCCGTGGCTATAAAATGTTCCCAAGGCCATTAAGGAACCGCCATCGAAATATCGTTTTAAGAAATATGGTGATTCCGTCCGTAATGGTCTTGGGAGCATTTTATAGCCACGGTAAGCTTTATATCACTTTTCCTAGTTGTCGGATGAATTCAATGGAGTATGTTCAAGTCTTGGAAGACAAATTATTGCAATTTTGGCAAAGCAGCAACAATGGAGGACTCGTTTTTCAGCAGGACAACGCGCCAGTTCATAAAAGTCGCCGTACTCAAGTATGGTTAAAATTAAAAAATATTAAAATTTCAAACCAGAATCCGTTCGAGAACATGTGTGGAATCTTGACTCGTCGTGTCTATGCAGAAAACCGGCAATACCAAACTGTATTTAACCTCCAAGAAGTGATTATCGACGAATGGCGGTCAATCGATAAACACTTGCGAAAAATTTTGACCAACAGTGTGATGGATAAAATTTTAGAACTTATTCAAAATAAGGGAGGCCATACCCATTATTTATAAAAGTTATTTTATTTAAGTTTTAAAAAATAAAATTATCTAATTTTGTAAAAGTGCGTCTACAGTTATGCAACACCAGCAATTTTGAAAGTGCAGAATTCGGCGAAACCATAAAGAATAAATTAATTATTTTTGTTGGATAATATGTGTTTTTGATCGTTTTATTGTGAACAATAATTTAATGGGTCCATTTTATTTGTCAACTAACATACCAATTGAATTAAAGGTGCATCTATAGTTATGATACACAGTGTAGAAAATATGGCCGATATTCTGTGACAAGTTTCGATGAAATCGGCTTAAATTTCGATATAGCTTTTATACATATTTTCGTCCGATTTGCAGTAAATGGCGCACCAAACTCCTCATGTTTATCAGATATGTATCCAAATAATCAACGGGTATCCGATTGATAAATAGCTTTAAATTGATTTACATAATTTTGTCCCATTGAAAAGAATCAACTCTATATCTGACCAAATGAAAAAATTAGTATAGGTTGCAGAAAGACATGTTTATGGGTCCAATTTCATTTTACTGGTCCTTCAAAAATGCGACGTCTGTTATGATACATCTGTTGAATATACCCAAAGTGGTGAAGGGTATCATATAGTCGGCCCCGTCCGACTTTACTACTTTCCTTACTGGTTTGAATTGATCTAAGCATATCCATCAATTGATGCAAATTGGTATAATTCATATAATGATGTGTACTAAGTGTCCCTGAAATTGGGTAAGATTTTTATTCAGCTCCCAGATATATGTTCGTACGATTTTATATAAAAGGAGCACTAAACTCCCAAGGTTTTTCCGATTCAGTCGAAATTGGGAATAACGTACCATAATAAGTCTAAAATTTTGTGCCAAGTTTCTTTGAAATCGGTTCAGCTTCCAAATCGGTTCAGCTTCAGGTGTATTTCCTGATTGACATATACCAATTTTTGCTTAAAATCGAACCGGATTTTTAAATAGCTCTTATATATAACTTCTTGTTCCCACATTAATTCCGCTTTGTTTAAGGTCTGCTGAATTTATCCGTACACATATGTGGGGATATTTTATATTCCAAGAGATTCAATTTGGGAAGTGATAATTTCTTAATTTATTTTTATGGAAAAGATCTAAAAGAATGGTTTATGGACTTCCGAATCCTATTTTTATTGAAGGAATGCAACAATAAATGAAAGTAACTGTGTTTTATTCGAAAGGTATTGATTATAGTTTTAGTATATAAGTATTTAGGTGTAATACATTTTTATAGAGTGTATATCCAATAGAATAAAATGTTAATATCCTACAAACCAAATAATATCCTTTTATTACATTTTGTTGGCAACAACGACAATAACATTACGATCAACAAGACACTTGGCAACATTATAAGCCAAATCACATTCATTTGCACCCTTTTCGTTTTTACATTCATCGGCAGCTTTCTGTAAATCATTCTGACGATTTTTCCATTCAGGTAATTCCAGAGAAAATTTAACAAAAATTTGCCATTTTTAAAGGCATTCTCTTTTTCCAGCACACATTTAATGTGGCATTTAAAATCATCACCAAATTCGGCATTTTTATCTTTAGTGAATTTTTCAAATTCACCTGCAGCTATGGGATTCGATTCGTGACACGACCGTATTGAGGCAATAAAATTATCCATATCAGCCTGCAAAAGGGGGGAGAGAAAATCGAATGTTTTGAAATTTTTAAAGGATGGAGGACTTAGAACATTACCTTTGCCGGCAGGACTGCTAGTAGTAAACAAAGTATGCCAATGTAGATTGAACTCATTTTTGAAATTTGTTAGAACTTTCCGTGTTGGAATAACAATGTTTATTGCTCTTAAGTGATCGGAAATTTTGGAATATTTATATGAATTTGTGAATGAAGTTTTTTAATATTTTTTAATATTTTTTAAAATTGTTTAATGCTAATGACCCTCCTCAATCGAATTTGTTTTTTTTTGTCCATTTTGTTTGCATTTATTTAATTAAAGTAATTACCATTAAAATTATTTGGTGCATGCATAAACAAATATTAGGTAAATTGATTTTTATTAATAATTTAAAATAATTATATGTGCATTACATTCAACAAAGGTTATAATTCTCCCACGAATCTTCTCTGACCCATTAAAAAAATAAATTTATTGTTGTTGACCAAAGACGAAATCTTTGTTCTCCTTTAGGCAAATGCCAATATTGAAAGCTGTCTCACATTCATCGGAGCCTTTCTTTTCCTTGCACATATCCACTGCCTTAGTAACTTCAGCATGGCGATCTTTTAAGGCAGGATGGTTGAGGGCCTTCTCCAAAAAAGCTTTATCATCGAATACACCCTTTACAAAAAATCCTTGTTTTTCCAAAATACATTTACCCTGGCACTTAATGGGCGTTGTCGCCTTGCTGGGGTCCATGTTACTTTTCATAAATGCCTGCATGTCCTCTTCGTTAACTGGGACCTCTACCTCACAGGTTTTTATGACTTTTTGAAAGTCCTCATCATTATCGGCCTACAAGGAAAAAAAATTACAAAAATTAATTTTATAAGCATAAATATTTTCTAATCCTGCCATAACCTCACCTTAACCCAACCAACGGCAAAGGCCACCAACAATATTAAAATATTACAAATATTGTAAAACCGCATGTTTAGCTTTGCTAAAAATTTATTTATTTTCGCAATTTTTATTCCACACAAATGTTTGTAATGTCGTCGTTGGTATTTAGTGACTGTGGCATTATTGGTTACATTGCCCGGAATTTATTGGATTTGATTTTCGCTTCAAAAATTCATTCTGTACTCGTCGAAATAGTCTTGTTTTAACTAAAAATGTAATTTTTGCTTTGTTGTAATACAAATATAACATTGATAATTACTTTAATTTGAATATATGCAATTATTGTTGTAATTTAATTAGTTTTTGTTATATTATTATTTAATTCTTTTGTTTTTTTGTTTGTAATGTAGATTTTGTTAATAGTCCATGTAAATTAGTAATTTTATTTTTTTTTCGCATAAATGCAACATTGATTATGAAAAATTAGTATGTAAAATATTTGAGGTTAGCTAAATAATAACAAAATATTTTATTTGTGAAATAAGTAATTAGCTGGCAATTTGTGCCCATTCATTGAATGTATTATTTTTAGGATTCTTGGTTGGGAACACTGAAGAAAAATGTGAAAATATCAATCAAATAATCGGTCGATTTTGGAACTGGTATGATTGTTGCCATTTGTTGTATGATTTCTTGCCATTTTTAAGGTAACTTCATAATGCCTCTTTCATTGAAGTCCTGCTCTATATTTGCAAAAAAACTCTAGCAGTCGATTTTCACAATCCTCCCTAGATACCAATTTTTATACCCTTCACCACACTGAGGTACCATGTTTAGGCATAGCTCCCATAAAAAGCATAGCTCCCATAGCGCGTTTTTTAACAGAATTCGCTGAAATTTAGTATTTTTAATTCTTAATGGGTAGCAAATCTCCCTACCAATAAATATAAATAAAGGTTAATTTTTTCGGATAGCCCCCATATAAGAGTACCCCCAATTTTCGGTATTTTCGGGTTCTTGGGCTCGTTTTATAACTGAATTCTCTGAAATTTGGTAAATTGGGTTCTTATTGGCTACCAACTTAGTCAACTAATAATTATAAATATAGGCCCAGTTTTTCTGGTAGTCTCCATATAACAATACCCCCATATTTTTTGGATTTTAGGGGTTCTGATCGTATTTTTTCGACCGAACTGACTGTAGTTTAGTACGTCGAGTTCTTATTAGGTAGCAAATCTCTCCACTATAAATTATAAATATTGGTCAATTATTTCTGGCAGCCCCCATATAAGGATACCCCCCAATTTTCGGTATTTTGAGGTTCTTGTACCAAATTCTTTTTATACCCTTCACCACACTGTGGTACAACTATTATGTCATTGTGCATATGTTAGTAACAGGCAAAAGGAAAGGAGATAGACATATGGTTCCTTTTGAGCATATGCATACAATCACTTTTTGAGTCGATTTAAGCACAAAATTTGGCACATCGTAACAAATTAAGTCTAGAATGATGTGTGTTGAGTTTCCTGGAAATCGGTTCAGATTTATATATAGCTCCCATATATATTTCCGTCCGATATATATCTTTCGATTTGCACGAAATTTGGCGCAGCGTAATGAATTATCTCTAGAATGATGTGTGTTAAGTTTCCTGAAAATCGGTTCGTATTTAGATATAGCTCCCATATATATTTTCGTCCGATTTAATGGAAATGGTGCACCAACGTCTCTTAATATCTTTCGGTTTGCACTAAATGTTGCACAGCGTAATGAATTAGCTCTAGATGTGTGTTAAGTTTCCTAAAATCGGTTCAGATTTAGATATAGCTTCTATATCTGACCAAATAAAAAATCAAGCTCCCGTAGATTCTGGCGAGTCTCTGTAAATGTGTGTTGTCTAGCGTTGTCCTAGTGGAACACGAAACATCTCCTTTTGGTCAATTCTGGCCGTTTCTGGTCAATCTTCAACGATCTTCAAACGTCCAGTCCCACCAAATGCATAGCAGAAACTTCCTGGCCGTTAGTCCTGGTTTAGTCACAGTTTGAGGTGCTTCACCTCTCTTTGACCACAAACATTTTCTCACAGGGTTATCGTATGCGATCCATTTCTCATCTCAATTATCATTCGTTTAAGAAATGGATCTGTCTCATTCCGTCGGGCTTCTTTTTGAACCCAGTTTTGTGTACTTTCTTACTTAGCTGGCTTATGACAGAACGGTTGTTCCATAAGCTTTAAAAAGATTTCCAGGCCCGTCGGTCTTGAGCGCATCTCATTCAAATTGAAATGCCCTTTTCCTATGAAAGACCATTGGGTGACGTAGGGGATGACATATACCAAGCAACGACTCTGATTGAATTTACCATGGCGAAGCTCAGGCTTACCTTAGTCCCTCTTTCATCTCGATTGTGGATGCTGACCTCCCCGCGGTGTCACCTTGCGGTGTCACCTTCGTCATCCATTGAAATAGTGAGTTGATATGTGCCGCAAGTTCACCCAAAAGAACAAAAGAATGGGTTAGTTGCCCATTTTCGGAAAACCCCTCGTACTATGAAAAAGCAACGAAAAAGAATGTGTAAATGGTTAAAAAAGTTTTATGATCGATTTTTAACTCCAGGGCGATGCTGCGTCTGCTAATATGCCGATCAACTTCGATTATTTCTCCGATTTTATCGACATTTTCGACGACCGGCCTAATGGATTTCTATTATGGGAGCTATATTTAAATCTGATCCGATTTCAATAAAACTCCGCATACATCTATCACGACCTAACTCCGAACACTGTGCATGATTTTGTCTCAATCGGACAAATATTGGGAGTTTGGTGCACCATTTAGTTAAAATCGGACGAAACTATATATGGTAGTTATCTAAACCTGAACCGATTAAAAAAAATTCCACATATATTGAACTGAACTTAATTCAGTACCCTGTGCAAGATTTTGCCTCAGTCGAACAATCCTTGGGAGTATGGTGCTCCATTTAGATAAAATCGAACAAAGCCATATATGGAAGCTATATCTAAATCTGAACCGATTTCAACAAAATTTCGCATACATCAATCTGGAACTAATTCAATACTATGAGCAAAATTGTGTCTCAATCGGACCAATATTGGGAGTTTGGTGCACCGTTTACATACGGACGAATATGTATATGGGAGCTATATCGAAATTTGAACCGATTTTCTCCAATTTCAATAGTGTTCGTCCTTGGACCAAATAAGTGACATGTGGCAAATTTCATCCAAATCGGATCATAAATGCGACCTGTACTTTGTTCACAATAATACATGGACGGACGGAAGGACGGACGGACATGCATAAATCTACTCAGTAAGTGATTCATATTCTGAAAAGGAACCATGGGTGTATCTCGATTTCTTTTATCTGTTACAAACATATGCACATAATGCCCTGTACCACTGTGTGGTGAATGGTATAAAAACTACACAGATATTAAACTGGACTTAATTCAATCGGAGCAAACTGAAATGCCTTATTAGAGCCTTTTTGTTGAAAAATGCGACTACAATGCTGAAAACTTACCGTTGCCAAAGGCTATGAAAGTTTTTGTAAAGAACCAATAAATAGCTTCTGGGGAGAATATACCAACACAAAAATAAGGTAACTGATGAGGATCTGTGTCGAGATCCGAAACTATAGTCTTCCCTGCCTTACCCCCTCGGCGGACAATGTCATACGTTCCCCACTAATAAATAGTTTTTTTTTTATAAGAACAACAAACTGGGATTCAGCCTGATTATTTTGCAAAAAAAAATACAAATTGTATCCCAAATAACCCGCCAACACTATAGAAATGCACATTTTTTTTATGCACAGGATATTACCTTTATTGTTATGATACGATTATTATATATTAAATTTGCAAACACATTAGTTTAGTTCCTTAAACACTACATCTCTTTATGAAAGTAAAAACTTTTTCTTCCGGTTGCCAATCATACTCATCCATTTACATCACCTTAAGCAGCAAATGCCATTTGACCAACTTCGGTATTGCCGAAACATTTCATTAACATATAGGCACCTTCGCAATCATGTTCCACCTTTTCATTGTTGCATGCGGAAATAACACTTGCTACCTCATCTAAATGATCTTTCATCGAATCTTTAGCTTCCAAATATTTCAACATTTCCTCAGCAACAAAACTACCATCATTGAAGAAATGATTTTGTTCCATCATACATTTGATGTGGCATTTAACAGGACCGGTTGCATCTTCTTCCTTCATGCCATTTTCAAAATATTTCTCTAATTCCTCGGCGGTAGCTTTTGATTGTTCCGTACAGACTTCGGCATGTTTTTCCAATTCTTCAGTTAAGTTGGCCTGTTCGGAAATATATAAAATTACATAAATCAGAAAATTCTGTCAGGTTTATTAAAACTTACCTTAACAATAGCTGCCCCCAAAATTGCAAAGCAAACACCAAGGTAGAAAATCTTCATCTTCGATCGAAAATATCGTTACTTAGAAACTTGATGAGAAACTGTTACAATTTCCTAGAAATTAGTTCATATTTATAGTCGTGAGGTTTAGGATGTAAGTTTATTAGTTTTTCTATCAAGATGTTTTGTAAACAGAAATAATTGGAATATTTCAGAAATTAGACAGATCAATTAATGTAATTAAATGTTAACTGATACATTGTGAATAAATGATTTGTTGTTGACGAGGAATGATATCTGTTATATGGGCATATAGTTTTCTAATGTTACTATACAATATTCATTAAATCGTCAAATAGTAGAACAGTTCGGATAATTACATATAGACTAACAAAATCAAGGAAAATTTATTGAAAATCGTTTACAATTTTAAAGTTTACCGTAATTAAACCATTCGCAATTAAAATCTGCTTCGCTATTTTTTTAATCATATGTGGTCCTGAAAAATAAATATATGTTGACAAGATACCTTTGTGATGTTCGACTTAAAATTGTAGCATCAAGGGCGAATAGAACAGAAACAGAAAAACATAAATAACCGCGCGAAATTTACACTCTCTAGTGTAGTAATGATAATATTTAAAGCAACACTTTCATATCCGAATACCAAAATCGATATAATTGGTGTCCACTTAAAGCACAATTACTCCTCTTCCATATAAATGTAAGTTATCCCGGTCAATGTCCTTCTGAAATAAGTATTTTTTTCACATAAAAGTCATAGCCCATTCGACCCGGTAAAATATTGAACGATCTTCATCAACAGTCACGATTATTCCCATATCCACTTCACTGTATAAAATTGTGTTATGTTGGGGTCATAATTGTGGCATCTAGAGTTACCAGAAAAATAGATAACAAGTGAAAAAGGCCTAAAGCTGGGTCGGGCCAAACTTTTATACCCACACTAGAGTTATACTGCCAGTTACGTGTAATAAAGTTCGGAACACCAATGGGTCCGATATTCGGACTTCATCTACACTTGGTAAAGATAATAGGTTGTACAAAGTTTGATTCAAATCGAATAGTCCGTTCGTATGATGTTATCAAATTAACTGTTTGCACAATTTTGACGATTTTGTGGGGAAGTAACTGAAGGAGTGATTTAGACTTGGTGCAGATAATAGCTTGTGCAAAGTTTGTTTCAAATTGGACATTTTGTTCGCCTAATATTGGATTTAAAAATATTTAAAAATTTTGAAATCTGGCGAATGGAATGTTCGACGTGAACCGAACAATGTTCACGTCGAACATTCCATTCGCCAGATATTGGATTTGACCCTTTCTGGGGGAGGTACCAGAAGGGGTAGACCAATGGTTCCCATCTCCCTACTTGACCTAGGCTTGGTCAAGATAATGGGTTGTACAAAATTTAATTCAAATCGGATAGTTTATACCGCACAAAAAGCGCGGTATAAACTTCCATCTCTGTTATGAACACATGTTAAATTTTGTTTCGATCTGGCAACTCCATCATACATTTTGGAAATCGGTACAGAATTAGATATAGCTCCTATATATAGTTTCGTCCGATTTTTTGTAAATGGTCCACCGCACACACTTCCACTATTTGTCCGATTCAAACAAAATTTTACACAACGCACTGAATTAAGTCCAGTTTGATGCCCGTGAAGTTTTTTTATAGCTCCCATATATAGTTTCGTCCGATTTTGTGTAAATGGTGCACCAAACTACCAAGGATTGTCCGATTCAAACAAAATTTTGCAAAGTGTATTGAAATATGTCTATATTGATGTATACGAAATTTTCTGGATATCGGTTTGGATTTAGATATACATAGCTCCCATGTATAGTTTTCGTCCGATTTTTTGTAAACATTTGTCTGATTGAAACAAATGCACAGCGTACTTAAATAGGCTCATATCGATGTATGCAAAGTTTTGTGGAAATCGGTTGAGATTTAAATATAGCTTTCATATATACTCGTAGTTTCGTCCGATTTTATGGAAATGGTGCCCAAAAACCCAAATATTTTGATTAAGTCCGGTTTGATGTGTGTGAAGTTTTCTTGAAATCGCTTCAGTTTTAGATATAGCTTAAATTTTATCTAATTGGTGTACCAAACTCCCAAGGATTGTCCGATTGAGACAAAATCTTGCACAGCGTACTGAATTAAGTCCAGTTTAATGTCTGCGGATTTTTGTTTCGTCCAATTTTATGTAAATGGTGCACCAAACTCCCACGATTGAGACAAAATATTGAGCAGTGTACGGAGTTAGGTTCAGATAGACGGATCAGATTTAGATATAACTCCCATGTATATTTTCTTCCGATTTTATGTAAATGGTGCACCGAAGAGCCTATGCTTATTCGACTGACACGAAATTTGGCAGAGCTGAGTTTAGAGCGATTAGTATAAAAGTTGTAAAAATCGTTTTAGATTTAGATATATCTCCCATAATCATTTTCATCTGATTTTATGTAAATGGTGGACCGAGGAGCCTACGTCTGTTCCATATAGACGAGATAAAATTGTGAACAGCGCACTGTTCTGCTGGATGTCAAATGGTTTATTCCACTGTTGCTTAATTAGGGCCAGATTTACTATAGCTCCACAAACATTATTTTTCTAGGTTTCATACAAATGGTACACCAAAGAATCCGACTGACATGCAATTTTTCATAGATTTCAGAATGGCATGTGTATGAGTTTTTTAATTGGTTCATATATCTATGTAGATCACACATTTAATTTCGCCCGATTTCATTCCAATGGTCCTGTAAAGATTATTTGTCCTGTAAAGATTATTATTATAGGATATTATATATACTAGCATCTCTTGTATATATCAAAAGTGATGCAGTGTATCATATAGTCGGCCCCGTTCGACGTTTGAACTTTCTTTACTGGTTTAAATAAGTGTAGATCACATCACATTTAATTTAGTCCGATTCCATGTCGATGGTTCTCTAAAGATGCTACGTCTGTCATATCGACATTATACTGTGCGTATGAGCATATATTAATGTATCCAAAGTGATGAAGGGTATCATATAGGTGGCCCATCCGACTTTTGAACTTTCCCTATTGGTTTTCTTATCAAGTGTAAAGTTTAGATTACATCATTTTCTCCCTTCGAGAGTTATGGTGCGTAACCGACAGACAGTAGGGTGGACTTATTTAAATCGTCTGGAAATGGTTTAAAACATATTTTATACAATGACAATGCAATCCCGGGATTGTAAATGCCGTAGACACATTATTCGACCGAAACTGACTGTCGTTTCAGATTCAATCCTCAACCACCCTAATATACAAATTTTTAATCTCAGCTAAAATTTGTCATAAATTTAATTTATGAATACACACAAAAACACCATTTCAACTACATTTATAAACGATTTTCTACAAACCTCACTGCATTCGAAATATTTATAGACACATTTTCATGATTGTTGATAAAAATTTGTATACGTTAATTGTTTGTGGTTTTGCAGTTGTTGTTGTTGTTATTTTTATTCTAGATTTGATTTAGAACTCTAAATCTAAAATAAAGCGTAACAACTAATTTTCGTTATTTGTAATTCATTTTGTTTGTATTTAGTCGAACATTAAGTGTAATTAAATTATCTATTATTATTATTGTTATTGCTGTCATTGTTGGCGTTGTTGTTGTTTTTGTATTATTTTCCAATTTCACGTAGCACAATCGGAAATATTTCACACACAAAATCGTGTGTGTGTGTGTCGGTATGTGGTATAATAATAAACGCGAAATATTTATTATTATGATTATTATTATTGTTTTTTTCTGTTATTATTGTTGTTGTTATTTAATAGAATTAACTATGAATAATTCACATTTATTATTGCCTTTTTGTTGGTTCAACACTAATTTCCAATGTGAATTAAAACAGATTATTTGGATAATTTATCAAAAATAACATTTCGAAATAAATCAATTAAGCGAGAGCTAATAAATATTTTATTTATATACATACGTATGTATAACTGTATATAAACTATTATTTTAACTAAACATTTTTGGAATCTAATAAAATGTAATAACCCACAAGAAAATAATTCAAAATTTAAGAGTTAAAATTTGGTATTTTTGGTTCTTATTGAGAATAGCATCTCCCTACCAACAAAAATCAATATTGATATTGATAAAATTGCACCCCTTCATTAAATTAAAACCAGTAAGGAAAGTAGTAAAGTCGGACTGGGCCGACTGTATGATACCCTTCACCACTTTGGGTATATTCTACATATGTATCCTAACATATGTAGAATATATCTGAACCGATTTCAGGGAATCTTGCCAGAGACTAATTTATATTACATCAGTACGTTGTGTAAATCGGCCAAGCTATGGATCTTTTCACGAAGCTTAGCAACACCATTCTAGACTTAATTCAGTACCCTATACCAAAATTCGTGCAAATCGAAAGATATATAGGGACATTGGTGCACCAATTACATAAAATCGGACGAAAATATATATGGGAGCCATATCTAATCTGAACCGATTGTCACGAAACTTTGCACACATCATTCTAGTATCAGTTCAGTACGCTATGTTAAATTTCGTCAAATCGAATGATATATAGAGACTTTGGTGCACCATTTACATAAAATCGGACGAAAATATATATGGGAGCTATATCTAAATCTGAACCGATTTTCAAGAAATTTTACACACATCGTTCTAGACTTGATTCAGTACGCTATGCCAAATTTCGTGCAAATCGAAACGTATATAGCTACTTTGGCGCACCATTTACCTTAAATCGGACGAAAATATATATGGGAGCTATATCTAAATCTGGACCGATTTCCAGGAAACTTAACACACATCATTCTAGGCATAATTCATTAGGCTATGTCTAATTTCGTGCAAATCGAACGATATATAGGGACATTGGTACACCAATTACATTAAATAGGACGAAAATATATATGGGAGCTATATCTAAATCTTGACCGATTTTTCCCAATTTCAATAGGGTTCGTCCTTGGGGCAAATAAGTGACCT